TCCTCCTTCCCTGCTCAACCCGCCACCCCTCCCCCTCCCGACTAGGATGCATATGCCATTAAGCATTTATGCATAGTCAACCCCACACAGGCTATTTCCATATTAAAGCTCATAAGAAAGAACTGTGCTGGTACCCACCTAGAACATAGTCACTGCAGTCCAGCATTGCTGTGAAATCTTCTAGAGGTTCAAACTGTCCAAAGCAAGGAAGAACAGGTAGTGGTTTGGGGAAGGGAAAAGAAGGTACTACTATTTCTAACAAATCTACACACTACGTTCTTAACAGAACAAGGTGGGGGGTGGAAAGTGGATGGGGTGGGGGGAGCAAAATACAACTTCAGTTACACCATAGCAATCTTCAATTGAATAAAGAAACTTCAGTTGCTCAGAGGAGTTTTAGCCTCTCCTACCAGCTAGGACTGACATTGTCAAGGCAACTGAAGCATAAGAAGTTCCCCTTTTTGTAATAAAATAGAAACAAAGATTGCAGCTGGCAGTTTCCATAATGAAGCTTAATCAGTATGCGTGTGATTAGGGCCTTATGCAAATCTCTCCTCGTTAGCACAGCAGCCAGTACTTTGAAGTCCAGGAACAATTCATTTAGAGAATACACTGAAAGCACTCCCTGCATAATTTAAATCGTTACATAAATATTTATCAGCTTATTTGCATATTAATTGGCAGTGCATGAAGGGAAAAATTACCTCCTGAGTGCCAGCATAATAATTAGGAGGATAAAATGACATTTCTTCCAATGGCCTGGCTTCTCGGACCTAACTTGAGCTAGTACTGGGCGAGAAGGGAGGGACAGGAGATGGAGTTCTGTTAAAGTGCCACTGAAATGACACGTACAAATTATAAACAACTCTACAGACTTAAGCACTTTTAATCTTATTCCTGCTGGCAACAATGACTTCAGTAATAAGAGGATTTGCAAAAAAGCTTTCTACACAATCCAAATAATCCCAAGGAAACAATTAGCAAGGTAGAAGCAAAACATAGGGCTGTCAAGATGGTGCAAGTCTACTGATAGGGAATTTTCCAAACGTTAACACAAACTGTCAGGAGAAAGCCCTGCTTTAAACAAGGCAACAGAATAAATCCGGAAGCAGTGCAGGACCTATAAAATTATCTTCAAGAGTATGAAAATTATCTACAAATATTTTTAAAATACTAAATTAACAGGACAGAATAGTCGAATGCTACATATTATGCAGTACACTGCCCCCCCCCCCAATTCCTACAAAATCAATCTCAAGTAGGAGACAGTTTGTTACCTACAATATGGAGAGCCAAAAAATGAGTCTTGTAAACTGTGGAATTACTTAGTATATCTACATATCTACATCTATATCTGTACAGACACATATACTTTCCAAGGAGCGGCTGGTGGATTCGAACTGCCTACCTTTTGGTTAGCAGCCAAGCTCTTAACCACTGTGCCACGAGGGCCCCATGCTATGCATACATACGTACATATATATATATATAATCCTTACTAAACAATATTCAATTTAAAGTAGATTTACAAGGTAAAACATCAACCCAAAATTCTTCAAGCATTACAATATGACAACATTACATCCTAAGCATCTTAGGCAATTCAGGAGACTTACAGAAACCCTATCAAGTAGGCATTTTTACCTTCCCTTATTTTTACTGTAATATATATATCTATATATAAAACAAAACATTTGCCGTTTCAACATTTTTTACATGTACAATTCAGTGACATTAATTATGTTCATCATGTTGGGCAACCATCACCTTAACAGAAGCTTGTGCCCCCTAAGCACCATCTTTCCCCCTCCCCCTCCCACCCCTGATAACCGCTAATAAACTTTGGTCTCTCTACATTTGCCTATTCTAGATATTTCATGTAAGTAGGATCATACAATCTTTATCATTTTGTGACTTTTCACTCGGCATAATATTTCCAAGGCTCATTATAGTATGTATCATGACTTTATTTCTCTTTATGGCTGAGTACGAATCCATTAAAAGGAGCCCTGGTGGTGCAGTGGTTAAGTGCTCACTGCTAAC